AAAGGCATGGGAAGCCACTGAATATGCAGGAGTGTGATCAGAGAAGCGTGTTTTGAGAAGATTCGATAAGATCATCGTGGAACACGGTTGAGAGAGGCAGGAGGGGACTCAGAGAGAATGGTCAGTATGCTCCTGCAATAGTACAAGTGAAAGATGTTTGCATATTGTCTGGGTTCCGGAGTGGAAAGAGAAATAAGTCTTCATTTCCTATCCTCACATCTTGAGTGAATGCCTTTCACATGGCAGACATACAATACATGTTTATTGAATGAATGCATAAAATGAATATCATTAAGGCATTCTATTTATTTTCACAGGTAAAAAGAAAGCCGTTAAGGAGTGCTGATAAGCACTGCCTGTGCCGCCCTCACTATTACTGTTGGACTCTTAGTTATCAGATGCTGCTTCCTCTAAAAATGATTGAAAGATTCTAACAGACTGTAATAGAAGGGCTGATGTATCCTCTAACTGCCTTGAAAATAGTAATCAGAATTTCTAGGTAGCAAAAGTCAGGGGAAACTCTGGGAATAAAAGCACTATTTCTTTAGTCAACATTGGGTCCTTGAAAATGGCCAATGATAAGGATATCAGTTGTCAACCTGCCTATGTCCTATTTATGTCCTACCTGGATTTCCAAAATTCGTTATGTGCAGCAACTTACAATCACTACCAAGCTTTTCAGAATTCAAACAGGGAAGTCTATATTTAAACAAGATGCTATTTTCTTTCTTTTTCATTCCATAAATTATTCTAATTGATTCATCAGAATTCTGTGGGTAATATGGCTTGTCTTCCTTTTCAAAAACCTTAAATTTTTAAACATAAAATAAAATGGTTCAAATGCCTCAAAAATAATAGATAAGGCATAAAAACACTATTATCTTAATTCCTGAATAGTGTCCCTCAATGCAGAAGAAATATTTTAAAGTAGATAACAGATAAACAAAAAATATAAAAGCCCAAGTTTTAAGAATCCTCATTTCATATGTCAGAAAAATATTTCAACCACAGGTGAGGTTTGGAGATATAATTACAACATGGCAGCCAACCTAGAATAAATATTTCATTACCCATCAAACTCTGCTCACCCAATTACTACCACTAGAACAAGTATTTTGTCTCTTCATTTATTTTAATGCTCCTGTCTTGTCTCCAGTTTCTGACATATTTAAGGTTAACGTGTATCTTTCTACATCCTTACCTTCACTGATTATCACAAAACTCAAGTATTTTCTTGCTAACCTCAACTTTCAATTCTGTCTTAATTTACTCTTAGGTTTAGGTCATGAAAAAATCTTTAAATCAAGATAGTACAGGAAATACGAGATAGTACTGGGAATATGTGAAGCTTAAATGCTTAAGACTTAAAGATTCGGCCGGCGTGGTGGCTCACGCTTGTAATCCCATTGATAATCAATGTATTTCCTGCCAGAATGCAAGAAAATGATAAAGGTAGAGTGAAAAAAATAGATTAATATGACCATATACAAACAAGTACTGCATATATGCTACTGGATCTCTCTGTTTGGAAAAATCCACATTGGCATAGCTGATAAATCAAAAAGTAAATAGTTGGGTTATAACACTTCAGATTCATTCTGGAAATGGGTGGATTTTAAAGGCTTTACTGTGTTTATTTTTGTGTGTGTGGTATGCAATGTTGGCTCACTGCAACCTCTGCCCCCCAGGCTCAAGTGGATCCTCCCACCCCAGCCTCCTGAGTAGCTGGGACCAAAGGTGTGTGCCACCACGCATGGCTAATTTTTTGTATTCTTAGTTGAGATGGGGTCTCACCATGTTACCCAGGCTGGTCTTGAACTCCTGAGCTCAAGCGATCTGTCCACCTTGGCTTCCCAAAGTGCTGGGATTCCAGGTGTGAGCCACTGCACCTGGCCCTGTGTGTGTATTTTAAATGGCCAAGTCTCCTAGTTTAGTATGTAATTCATGTCAATAAAGTATAATGCTTTAGATAAATTAACAAAATCTAATAATTATAATAATACTAGAAACACCTTATATGTGAAAACTATAAGGTTACACTTTACATGGCACTTCAACATGAATTATTTCACACAAAATCGATCTCTAAGTTTATTAGGTATTTTAGCCCACTTTAACAATGGAAAAAATGCAGGTTCGGAGAATTTAAGTCCCTTGTGCAAATCATTCAGCTCGTTAAGTTAGAAAAATAGGACTTACAGCAAGGTTTTCTGATTCCAAGCCTGCTATTCTCTCTAGGATGTCATGTTAGCATCTACAACCCATAATATGTGAAGTTTAAATACTATACCAATACCCATAATATGTGAAGCTTAAATGCTTAAGTCTTAAAGATTTGACTGGGCATGGTGGCTCACACCTGTAATCCCAGCACTTTGGGAAGCTGAGGTGGGCAGATCACCTGAGGTCAGGAGTTTGAGACCAGCCTAGGCAACATGGTGAAATCCTGTTTCTATGAAAAATACAAAAAATTAGCCATGTGTGGTGGTGTGCGCCTGTAATCCCAGCTGCTCGGGAGGCTGAGGCAGGAGAATTGCTTGAACCCAGAGGCAGAGGCTGCAGTGAGCTGAGATCACACCACTGCACTCCAGCTTGATGGGCAACAAGAGCGAAACTTCATCTCAAAAAAACCAAAAAAAGACCTAAAGATTCTAATAGTTTGGCAAGTGTGTACTAGAGTATGTTTGATTAATAAAGGCTTCTTGAAATTTATATTTTTGTAGGCAAATATCAAAGCAAATTTGAAATAATAACATACACTTTAATAAAACAAAAATGTGTAAAAATATGCTTTGAGATATAAAAAAACACATACCAATTCTCCAATAATTTCCCCTTAAAAATAAAAATAATAGTATTAAAAGGCTAAGGGATGAAACCACAATGTCTAATTGAAATACTAGGACCACATGGGGAAGGAATTAATGTTAAGGTCTAGTTTTTCCCCCCTAACAAGCATGACAAACTGTATTACACATTGATCTTCAATGATCAAAATTAAATGATATATTTAACAAAAATGGAATTTCAAGAACAGCTGAAACGAATCCATAGAATGGAGTCTACATAGAGTTCCTTTGGAGATGGTTATAATTTGAAAAATGGCACAAGGGAGGCTCCTGGGCATGTTGGAAATGTCCCATGTTTTGGCCTGAGCCATGATGAAACGGTTGTATATGCATATACATTTTCATCAAGTTGTTCTTTTTATTTGCTTGTATTAGAGACACAGTTTTGCTCTGTTTCCTAGAATAGAGTACAATGGTATGATCATAACTCACTGCTGCCTCAAATTCCTGGACTCAGTGATCCTTCCATGTCAGTGTCCTGTGTAGCCAAGACTATAGGCGTGTGCCACTGCACCTGGCTAATTAATTTTTTTTTTCCTTTTTGTAGAGGCAAGGTCTCACTATGTTGCCCCAGCTGGTCTTGAACTCCTGTCCTCAAGTGATTCTCTCACCACAACATCCCAAAGTGCTGGGATACAAGCATAAGCCACCACACCTCGCCAAGATGTTCTTAGGATTTTGTACTTCATGTATGGAATACCTCAAAAAAAATTTTTAAAGGAAATTATAGTGAAGTATAACAGGAAAAGAAGACTAAACAATAAGCAGGAAGTTAGAAATAGCACCAAAGAAAATATTATTAGGCTCATTAATAAGACCGCAAAAGGGCAGCTGATATGTATAATTAGCTAGTACTTGCTGCAGACAAATGGAGAATATTTGAATCCATTGTTATTCTGAGAAGGTTAAAGAGTATATGAAAATCCTGCCTGAATAAGCCCATGAAAATTTTCCTCTGTTGAAGAGAAGTGAAACAAAAGTCAGTGAACTAGAAATTATTCTAAAGATAACTGCCCCACTGATTTTTAAATAACTGAAATATTAATGTTAAAAACTCAGGCAATTTTAATGAAATATAAATTTTCACTACTATATTTAAGAGCATCAAATATTGGATATAATACTAGAAACCAAATATAGCAATAACCTACTATATCCAGAAACTATTATTTCTCAAAAAATGTAATGTGAAGAATTTATTTGTGCATATGTGTATATATGTATATATATACACACACACATATATATACACACACCCATTCCTCAGTTCAACTGTGACTTTGTAGAAATGACTTAATTTTTTTAATCCTTAGCTTTTCCTGTAAAGAGAATTGAACTTATAATACCTCTAGCGATACATTCAATGTTTCATTACTAAAATCACCCCAACACTGTCTGAAAACCTAGAGAGCAAAGGGCTCACATTTTCTTTGGCAGTTTATAAAATCAGATGCAGGAAAGTGTGAAACACAAATTCCACCAGCCACTAGAGATTCTAAAGCCCCACGGCAGGGAAAATCTGCGGAAAGTGAGTGCCCACCCTGCATGGCTGTCCGGAAGCAGGTGCTCTGGAACATGGACTCCAGCTAGGTGAATTCTCAGAAACAAACAGAAACTGACTCTGGAGTGAGTGGTGCTAGAAAAGCCACTCTTGCCAAGTGAAGCTCCGAAGCTCCTTGGCTTCAGTGTCTTGACTATGACGTTCCAATGTTTGGAATGCAGAAGACATGCAAATCTGTAGTCAAGAGCATTAAAAAACATAAGTGCAGTTTAAAATTCTGATTTATAACAGCTCATTAGTTAATCTATCAGAGGTAACCAAACACAAATCCAAGGGCCTGGCTTTGTTTTGTTTTTACCCCTGAGATAAAATATGGCACAGCCTGCCATTTCCATTCATTTGCTCTTTAATAATAGCCTTTTTATTTTCAGTTATGCTTTGGACTAGTGTAAAAAAGATAGAGTCCTCAATTTCACCATACATGATGCTATTCATGAACAACTTCGAGGACCTTATCTTGGCCTGCAACGACCATGCATGCAGCCATGCAAACATGCATCCATGCAACATAGCAGCACACAACACAGTGCAAAAACGGCAAAGAAAACCAAGTGATGGCCATGCTTGTATTTTTTCAAGGGTCTCCTTACCAAATAGTGAAATCCTATGCCTGACAAGAACTCCAAGTTTGCAGAATAGGCTGAAGACAAAAGAAAAACAAAAGAGAAAAGGGAAGGGGGAAGGTAGAAAAGACAGGGGGAAATTAAAAAAAAAAAAAAAAAAAAAGGAAGAAAAAAAAAAAAAAAAACAGCTGATATATGAGCCGGAAAAAAGCAACATGATGTCACGCAGAAAGAATCAATTCTCTGAGCAGAATGTGGAGTAAAGGTATTAAAGAAAGAGTCTTTGAGTGCATATCTTTAACAAACATGGTTAAAAAAGCACATATTATAAGAAACCAAAAAAAATTGAAAGCAAAGCTAATTAATATAAAAGCAATCTATATGAACCCCATAAGGATATAACTACTGAAAAACCACAAGGAAAAAATTTGGTTTTATCTGCCCAGATGTACCACTGAAACTCTGGATTTAAAAAATATTTTATATATATATATATTTTTTTACATTATTTTACAACAGAAGTATGGTGCTTTGGGCATACAATGTTAAGTTTTAATATGTTTCATTATTTGAAATCTCCTTCTTCCCCAACCTTGATCACACTCCTTACATAACATAAGCATTCAGTGAATTTGAATACAGTAAAGTAGGAACCGAATTTGAGCAACTGATAATCACTCAGAGGAAAGCATTACAGATGTGATAACTTAAAGTCTCTGGATACCAACAAGTTCAGTATATTTCTTATCTGCTCCACAGAAGGTTCCTGTGTCTTTGAGTCCTTCATGGCAATTAGCAATGAGTCATTCCAAATAATGGCTGCCCACATTCAGCATTCAGCCTGACAACGCTGGTATCCACTCTCAGATCAGACCCTTGAACCTGGGAGATCCCTGCTATTTGTCCTTTCTTTTCACCAAGCCTCAGCTGGGTGGGATCCTCACAGGTCCTTATTTTGAGAAATACCCTTCACTCATTTCCATGCTCTACTCCTATCTACTCATCCCTCAAAACTCAGCTCAGTTTATTCTTAGAATAAACTCATTCAACTAAATAAAACTAAATAAACTCAATAAAATAAGGATGTCAGCATTCTGACATCCAGCCCTCCTGTACGGCTCCCAACCTAGGCTGCAAGAGGTCCATACCCAGATGCTCTCAGGGGCCATTTGCAAATCTCTACCAATACAAGTGACATTATTTTCACATCTACTCACACTCTTCTCAGTTCTCAGATAGCACAGGCTCTACCCAGCCAGCACCTACCCAAAAATATCTAACCTTGAAGATGCATTTGTAGAGTACCACCCACACTCAGCTTGATTTTTCCCAATAATGAGAACAGCTAAGTCCTCACTGACCATGTTCTCTTGCAAAACTCGGCATTAACAGCTGTGATCAAATGTACAGCTCCCCAGGACTAGGGATAGAGACCAGCCATGGAATACCATGAAAGTGGCTGATCAGTGGCAGGATGGGAAGGGAGGGAAGCAGAGAAGGTAACATTTGTGAGGTTGACCTCTTTTACAGTAAGTTTTGGCCATCACCCCTCACTTCTGTAGCACTGTGGATTCGTGTATTGGTGAAAATTATGTAGGCTATTTTGCAGCTTTGCCAAGAAAATGTTCACCTACAAATGTCTGAGTGAATCTGAGGTTTTGGGGAATTTCTTATCAGAACAAAACATTTTTAAAACAATGATCTATTCAAGCGGCTACTAGACATAAGATTAGACCTGAGGCCCTTGACCTGCATGATTTATCTTTGTGCTATAATTTTAAGACAATAAAACAGGAGAAACTTTGTCCACGTGCCCTTATCTACTGAGCTTTATGACTGACAGCTGTGCATGCTAACTCAGCGCGGGTCTTTTTTTCTAAAGCGAATAATTCAGTTTGGAACGGTACATAAGAGACCGTTTCTACTGAGCTTTACGGCTGACAGCTGTGCGTGCTAACTCAGCCAGGGTCTGCCTTTTTCGAAAGAGAATAATTCAGTTTAGAATATTCTTTGGATCCCTGTATTCAGATCTATTTTCAGTCATGTATTTTACCTATTCCTCTCGAGTATCCAGAGTGAAACATTCTGAGATATTCTTCATGATCCAGAATTTATAATGCTAGGATTAGGTTTCACCCAATTAATCCAAACCTAGGATGTTTTGCTATCATGGCAGACTGCTCTATGTTTCATTTGTCAAATTATATGTAATGCCTGAACATCTGTCAGAGAAAAATGACTTGACGATCTCTGCTGATTCCTCACCACATGTGCCACCAGAGAGAAATACAGATATAGAAGGCAAGGTCCTCAAAGAGGGCACATCATACCTCTTTCCCTTCCTGCACAATCCACTTTTAGGGCATGGTATTCATAGAAACTATAAGGATTAATTATTATAAGCTTTGGCCTATACTTTCTCTAAAAAATATTTTCTGTCATACTGTTGTCCCCTTTCTCTGCTTCCCTCATTACCAACATTCTCTGGAATTTATAAGGCATCCACTTCTTCAGCATTTACTCATTGTCTTGTACCGAAACACTCCTTTGCAGCTCACCAATGCCCCTAATCAGCAAAGATAGTAACCCTTTGTTTTCTGGAGTTCTGTCAACAGTACTTGGCATTGTTTATTACTTAAATCTTGAAACTCTTACCCTCCTTGGATTTTATTTATAGTATTTTTTTTTTTTTGCTTTCTAATTAATCATTCTTGATGTTCTTCAAAGACCTATTTCTGAAAACCCTGTAAATGTAATAATTCTCCAAACATTGGTATTCAAAACCTTTTGTCTCTTTCTCTACTCTCCTTCAGTTTTATCTACTTTCAGAGCTTCAAGCATTATATATATATATGTTCAGATAATCCCCAAATATGTCATTTCTTGTTCTAACCTCTCAATTAACCCCACATGCTAATATTTCCAATCTGCTGGATTTCTCCAGTTGAATGACCTGCGGGTACCTTCTACTCTGATAAATACCTGACCAAATGTAACCTCTTCTTAGAAACTGTTCTTTTTCTGAAATATGTTGTTTCTGTTCATGATACTAACAATATTCCAACTACCCAGAGTTGAAATTTCAGCACCAAGTTGGACCTCTTTCTACTTGCCATATTACTCATCACCAAGTCATGTTGACTTTCTCTCCTCCCGGTTTCTCACCCCAGCTCTTGTTTACATCCCTTCTATATTCCCAGCACTCTGTAGATGTCTCCACTGACACTCATTACAGCTTCTTGGAGAGTTAGCTCTGTATGTATGTGCCTACTCAGCTGTACTTCCAAATTTATTAAAGTTAGGAACTGTCTTATTGTGTGTATATAGCTTCAGGCCTCAGACAGCATGCCATACATAGCTGGCATTCAGAGATATCTGCTGAATGAGGCCGGGCGCAGTGGCTCATGCTTGTAACCCCAGCACTTTGGGAGGCCGAGGTGGGCAGATCACCTGAGGCCAGGAGTTCACGACCAGCCTGGCCAACATGGTGAAACCGTATCTTTACTAAAAAAAAAAAAAAAAAAAAAAAAAAAAAAAAGCCATGCATGGTTGCAGGTGCCTGTAATCCCAGCTACTCAGGAGGCTGAGGCAGGAGAATTGCTTGAACCTGGGAGGCGGAGGTTGCAGTGAGCCAAGATCGTGCCACTGGACTCCAGCCTGGGGGACAGAGTGAGATTCTATCTCAAAAAAGAACAAGAAGAAAAAGACACATCTGCTAAATGGATAGGCGGGCAGCACCACCTATTTGAGGCAGCATTTCCAACACTATAGCCTGGGTTACTGTCTAGGCCTCCAAGTGCCTGTCATGGCCTCCCAACTCTCCCACTCTCATCAATTATACTTTTGCTGCCAGATTGTATTTCCCAGAGGGAAGCTCTGATCATCCTCTCACTTAAAAAGCTTTAATAGCTTCTTAGTGTTAATGAATTAGGTTAAAAAAATTGTGATATAATTTTAAAAAGAAGATTCCTGATTCTGACAGTTAATATCCGTTACCATCTATATAACCTAGCTTTCCCCTAAATTACCAGCTTCTACATTTTATTTATGTAGTTATCTACATTTAGCAAATATTTTCCTTCCTTAATCTCTGACCTACAAATGGTCCAAGATCAACTTTGACTGGCTTGATTTCCATAAATCTCTCACCCCTCTATATCCATCCAAGGTGGTCTTACTTTACTTTGAATCCCATTGCACTGCCTGGCTTTCTCTTACTAGAGCTATACTCATATTCATGTATTTAGCTACTGCAAAGTATACTCCAGACATGACAGTACTGACCTTACATACAGCAAGTGCTCAGTATATAATAATTTCTTGTGCCAGGAAGTATCTAAACATCTCATGAAACATTGGTTTTAATTGTGGAAAAGTTAACTCAAACCCACACAACTATTGCTACTCACATCTGTTAAACACTTAAAACCATTATCATAGTGTTTATCATGCGAATGAAGATATGCTTATTTATTCATAATGGCAGGGCCAGTTTTCTACCTATTAAGTTTATACCCTACCAATATTTTTCTATACAAATTAAGTCCTCTTTAAAAGCTGGGTTAATACTATTTGAGCATATATTTTATACTTTATCATGATCATTTTCCAAAAGTGTTAGATACTAATTTCCATCATGTTAATGACTGCACAGCATTTTGTTCAGACATGAGCCATCATTTATCACTTCCTTATTCATATTTTCCTCTATGATTTTCTTTCTCTCTGAAGTTAAATTCTAGCTATGTTTGGCACTAAAGTACTGTAATAACATAAGTTACTTTTATTATGCACCTCATTTTCTATGTGTTGGAATTTTAAATGGCATATGCTCCTTTTTTTGGGAAATACCAATGGGATAAGCAAAATTTACCAACCCTTTTTCTATTAGTAGAAGTAAAACTGACGATGAAATACAGTCATGCATCGTTTAATTATGGGGATTCAGTCTGAGAAATACATCATTAGGCAATTTCATTGTTATTCCCATAACGTAAGTACGTCATGGAATGTACTCACACAAACCTAAATGGTATATAGCCTATTGCTCCGAGGTTACATACCTGTGCAGCATGTGACTGTACTGAATACTGTAGGCAACTGTAACAAAATGGTATTTGTGTATCTAAATATATCTAAAAAAATTAGTAGAAATATAGTATTATAATCTTACGGGGCCACTATCATATATGCGGTCCAAAATTAATTGAAATGTTGTTATGTGGTACATGACTGTAATTAAAAACATTCTGGTGCAGTGTCATTAGAGAGAAGGGTAGTCTAGGGTCAGTCTAGAGCCCCAAAGGGACATCAACTGAGGCTAGCACAAAATAGCGATGTACCTCTGATTTATTCTGTGAGGGATACAGAATTGCCCAAGGAAAATGGGCCAATTTTCTTTTTTGGTGTATAGTTCCATGAAATTTTTCCAGCTTTATAGAGGTATAATTAGCAAATACAAATCATATATATCGAAAACACACAATTGGATGCTTCTATATATGCATAGCATGGGCTCAGTGAATAGTTCTAAGGGTAAGGCTGAAACTGAACGGAGATAATAAAACACAAGACAGGAGAAGAGGAAAATAGCAGAATTTGCATCGATTTGAATTTGTCTCTATTTTATTTTATCTTTATATAACTGAGTGATATCTAGATTAACAACACCCTTGGAGAACAAAGTTCCTATTAAAAAAGGCTAACAGACCCAGGGAGGAGTAGGAGACTTCAACGTGTCCTCAATTTCATGATGTTTAAGGGTAACTTGGTGCCTTGGGATATTCTAGCTACTCGCGCGCACTCACAATCCACAGGGGGATCCTGGCTCAGAGTAGTGGATGTGTGTGCTTATGAAATGACGAGGGAGGAGCTGCTCTCCCTCCCAGTGAAGGTGGGAAGGAAGGCCACGTACAAGTCGGAAGCGGGGGAAATTCACATCATGGAAAGTAACTGCATTGCCTCTCTCCATGTGGCAGCAATTTGTGGAAACAAAGCATGCCGCTGGGATGGAGTCCTGCTGTTATTTTAACTATAATCAATTTTATAGGAAAATTCATTTGAAGAAGTTTGAGGACATGTTTTATACTGTTGCAATCCCGTATCACATGACTGGCCACTTACTACTTGGTAAAATAGACAGTAAGTGAAAGAGATGAACTGAAAATTCCACTCCAGCTGCATTCCCCAGTGTTATGCAGTGCAGGAATCTTTTCACTTCTCCACCCTCTCACGAAGGCTGTATGCAATCTCATCTCACTCTGTCTAATAGGTGGAGACCGTACTGCCTTTCAGCATAGCATTAACGTCAAGTCCGAGGAAAGCCTGTATTTTCTCCAGTGTTCTGCTTTATGCCGTGTATTCACTTTTATAGAAATTTTGTTCTGATACAATCTAAAAACTTGGTATGGCTTTTGGGCAATGTAATATTACAGAAGTAAACTTGCTCCGTAATTGACTCTCGTGTACATTAAATTCTAGCAGAAGTTTGAGTGAAAGGACCTGATCTCCCCAGCAGAATCACAACTGAGTCCATAAAGAACCCTTTGGTTTAAACAGAAATGAGAAAGCATTGCTAAGAGGGGAAACCTTCAGAAATTTTGTAGGTATCTTTACTTCATTTTTCTTCCAACATTGGTCATTATTTTTAAATTAAATATGTATATTTGGGATTTTTTTCTGAACAATAAAAGCTGGCAAAAATATCAGATTTGTGGAAATGTTAAAGAAACTAATGTCAAAAGCACCATTTATCACAAATACTAATATGGTGATGCATGTCCAGCCTCTACATGTAGATTCTGAAATGAGTGATATTTTATCCTTCTATCCAGCATTACACTTAGCAGCAAAATATAAAGAAACTCAACATCTAGAACACATATCTTAACTCGTAAAAACTGTTTTCATCTAGTGTTCGCTTCCATGAAGACATGGACCAGGGAAATGGGCGGATACTCTCCATACAGTCCCAGGTCAAGGTCCTCAGGTTCTCTTTGCAAATGCATATACACCTAAGTCATACAACAGTGATTATTTTTATAGCTGTTTACCTAGTCACCATTTCTTTCTCTTTGTTGGAAGCATGTCCTCCAGAGCAGAGAGGTCTGCTTGCTGCAGATAAGAAGTATAAACGATGGTTTTTGAAATACTGATCAATTAAAGGAAGAACGACCTGAAAGAAAGGAAAAGAAGACAGATCTACGTAGTGGAATCTTTCAGGGGATGAATGAGAGCTGAGGATTTGGAGCAGTCAGAGTTCTGTTCACATGCATCAGGTCTCCTTATGTCCATGCCAGGCACGTCATAGTATGCCTCTCTTAAATCTCACTCTACCATCTCGAGTCCATAGCGGGGAAAGCAGAGTGTGGCAGGATGTGATTATGGGGAACAGAGCAAACCTGCAACAGTTTGGAATTATTCTTAATATTTTCTCAAAATGAAATATTCTCAATGTTTTCATATAATATAGTTCAGTGCCCAACAGACCCCAAAATAATCCATAGCTACCATATGTTGAGTCTCTACTATGTGTGAACATCGCAACTGATGATAGCAACTGCTCTCTGGGGTAGATGCCATCATCCCTGCATTATGGGTATTAAATGGAGAGATAGAAATGTGTGACTTACTGAAGGTCACATTACTACTTACTTGCCTACACAATGTTCTTTTAACCTGGCCTTTCTCAAAGTGCACTTTCCATTTCTATGCACATTTCGTCCTGCTGGCCTTGGGCCCATTCCTCCTCCTCACTCTGTCCACTCGCATCGCCTGGCCTTGTACACACCAATCCCTCTGTCCGGCATGCTCTTCTGCACTCCACATCCTACTCACCCTGGTCCTCCTATAGATCTCAACTCAGTGGTGCTTTGCTAGGTAAGTCTTAGCTGATCTCAACTAGATAAAGTCCCACATTCTGAGTTCTGACAACATCATTTGCAATTTTACATTGTACTTGTGGGACTTTGGATTAAAGTCTCTCTTTCCAGGAGCCTATGAGTTATGCAAAAACAAGAAACATTTCTGGGTTTGTTTTCCATTATACCCCTTTCCTGGGGTTGGGTCCAGAACTATTAACTGGTCTCTTCTGTTTGCCACTGAATCCCTAGTGCTAAGGACTGTGACGGGCCCATGGCAAGAACAAGATTGGCACTACCAGTATGCAAACTCAAGTCTATCTAAATATACTTCTTTTTCCTACCATGTGGTAGAGCACAGTTATATATAACAGGGACATCACCAGTTTTTATTGTTCTTCCTTGACAGTCGGGACATTGTCTGAATTTAGTGACTGGCACATAGTAGGCACTCAATATGGTAAATGAATGAATTATAGACTTAGTAGAAATTAAGCCACATTAAGCATCTGTAAACAGAATCACTAGGGGTGCTGAGTAGATGGGCAACACAAGAATGTATTTTAAAGGGATAATTAGAGGCCGTGAATACAGTATTCTGATAATTGGCTATCAAGTAAGATTACAATCTCACAGAGACCGGAGATACACATATGGATCTATCAATTGAGGAATCGCTAACTGTGTGCACCCCAGGACAAACTTTGGATCTTCAAATGATTGGAACAGACTCTGAGTGCTATATTGAATGGGAAGAAAAGACAATGGAAATGTGTTTTACAGTAAAGAACACAATTTTGAAAACATACTACAAGTCAATATTCATCAATCAAAAAGCATGCTATTTTAGAGTCCACAAAAGTTGTATTTATAGCAAATTATCTGTAATCACTGAATGCAAGTACTTTGAGAGGAAACAGACAGCAGTATTAGGTCTTCAGGCTCACAGCAAGGAGTCCCAAACAGGAAAGCTTACCCAGGGGCATTGTATATTCATGGCAATCCCTGGGCCATACCCTAATGCCTGACCCAGACTAGACACACAGTAAATACCGAGTAAATGAATTAAATCATTTGGAGGCTTTACAACTTTTCATGTCCATCCCTTTTTGACTGAAAAAAGTGATGATTTTTCCGGTGATAGAGCAAATCCCTGATAAATCCTTATGAAACGAAATAAATAATAACAGTGGGATGTCCTTTGTTTATAAACAATCTATCCTCTCTGATCTTCTGTAAAATTAGTAGGAAAAGGTCCCACAATAAAGATTCTATACTGAATGTTCTTATAATGTACCCATTTATGAATTAACTAAGACTTTCCTATTTATAAAAGCAGTTCTCAACTAGAAATTTTAAATCGTAACAATATCCACGTTAAGAAATAGATATTTTCATTCTATACCATACAATAAAACAAAAAAAAATGCAAACTGAATTAAACCTCAGATAGAATGAAGTCATTTGAAGAAGGAATATGGTAGGGAATGCAGAGTTAAAGTCTGACCAAGTATGATGGGAAGATGATTCATGCAGTTATTTTCATGCCAAGGAATATTTACGTGCAGTAAAATACATATTTGTAGACAAGTATGTTCTGCAAAGGGCAACGATCTAATGAATAGAGGATGTAAACAAACATATTGAAGCAAAAACAAGATAGATTGTATACTGTACTTTTGCAAAGAACTTGATTTCTTGTTCATAAGGGAAATGTTCTCCTTTGCCTCTGCTGCCACCATCTGTAGATGTGAAGAGTTTTTAGGTAAATGCTGCACTGGAAACATTGCAAGATATTCATCCATAATGCAAAGGTTAGAAAGCATGGCTAAATGTATTATCCCACTACACTGAATGGAAAAAGCCAACCAAAAATACAAAGGCAAGCTTTGGCAGTGTCATTAAAAATAAAAGGATTTTTTTAAATACCCAAATCTAAATTTAAAAAGCTATTGAGGGCAGCCCATGGTTGTGGTTAGAAACACAAACACATTTGTGTAGCTTTGAGATCTTATTGACATAGGGAGGGGAAAATGGAATAGAATAAAGTAAAAATCCTACATTTTCAGTAGCCTTTAAGAAAAGAAGCTCACTAGGGAGGGGACAGTGGGTGTAAATTGAATAAACATAATTGGTTAGATACTAACCCTGGCCTCTAATAATACAGATTGCCTCTTGGTGTGACCGAAAGTTAAAGCTTCTCAATTTAAGATACAAACTAAAACACTGCAGGAAGTCAGGATCTGTGACAAGGAGGAGGACAGCAATTTTAATATTAGGTTGGCAAATTAGCATTCCGCTAAAGAATAAAGAAATTTTGACCTATGTCAAAAGATAATTTTCATAAGCGAAGTAAAAACACCCAAGTTTTCTCTATGGTTTAAAAAATGATCCAAGGTCAAGAATTGATTAACCTAATTCATTTAGCTTAGAAGGTGGCCTTTCTTACCTCCTTCATACATATGGAAAAGGTTCATGCATATATTAATAGACGAGGTAATAATAAACTATAATAACCACGATGACATGCAGAACATATTGGAGAGCTAAAAAATTCAGAATTGAGTATCAGGTTTTAGTAAAATTTGTAAGCAGAGCTTCCAGATATTTAAGAGCCAAGCTGACTTTTGCTTGAAAAAGTTATTTTGCAAAATAATAATAATAATAAAAATAATAACTTGAGATAATAGTTTGTCAAATTTTAGACAAAAATATAAGATAATTTTTAGGCTACTATTTTGCAATATCAGAATGCTCTCCCCATGAAGAAGCAAAAGAAAATTATGGTTTTTTAACACTTGCAAATTTCATTTGCATGCCACTTTGGCATTTGAATCTCTCTTAAGCACATTATGCAAAATGGCTGGATTCAGATAATAGACTTTCTCATATAAAGTTATCTCAAGATAAAATTTTGTACACAGCCAAATCTGCTCATATTTCAATGAATTAAATAGGAAATGTCTTTTACTACATTTAAACAAATGCTTATGTGCAAAATGTGAAAAAGATGTGGAGAGAATATAATCTATGGTATAATATAAAAATGAGAAAAAGGCATATGCATATTTTTACTACCACAATTAACTTAGGTCTAGGAATGGCTACATTAGAGCTGTGCTACAAAATCACTAAAGTGAAGGATAAAGGGAGAGGGCAATATAGCAATTTCACTTGTGATAACAATGAAAGATGGAAATTAAAATAAACACGGTATTGACAATCACAGCTCTATCTGCTCCTCTAACAGAGTTCCTGAACCTAATTTGCCCTGGCAAAGCCATCCGAAAACGGTACCTATAACATCAGGCATTGTGAAAAAGGTTATTTGGTTGGGCTCTGTCATTGTAGCCTACTTTCTCTCCCGTGCTCTGTTTATAAGACCCTCTACCCTGTGGATAGAATGAAATGTGTCAAGTGGGTGAATGTACCCTGGAGCAAGCTTCTCACCACCCCCATACATGAACTGTAGTAGGTAGTTTATTCAGACATTTGAATAAAGTGTGAATAATACCTAAACACATTTCTTCCCTTCAAATTGGTGTTTGTGTTCTCCAATGTGAAGGTAAAAAACAAACAACTTTCTTGTTCCTTTCTCCAAATGATGACTCTTTCTTTCTCTCCTGTCCCTTGTATCTCCAAAAACAAGACTGGATATTGGAGTTGCTACCCATATCGGATCCTTTCAAATGTGGATCAGAAATTGCAACATTTAGCTTTCTGTGTAAAAGCTTCAATAACTCACCCCTACCTCATTTTTGTTCTCCAGTTAAATTTCATTAATTCAGATCAATTTGGCTATGTATTAGGATAAGTCAGGAATCATACTTTTAAAAATTGTTAGTTGTATGAATCACAGAGAGATTACAGATTATAAATTAGCTTGTAGTGTAAACTTTTATGAAAAAGATGCGCTCGAAGAGAGCAACAATATAGTATTTGAACTGTAGAGGCAGGTTGAAAGAGAAGTCAATTGTTTATGAGAACGATGCTCAACTGGAAAATCTTCAATCACATTTAGGATACAAGAGGCCAGAAAGAAGAAAATACCAGAGTTCTAATTTCTACAAACTTAAATCTGGTGCTATGGCAGAAACTAGATTTACACCCTAAGACAAACAGCAGCTAAGGGATCCAAGATGAATGACCCTAGAGGAAAGGTGTTGAACGCAAAACGAGTGAGTGTTAAAAATAAAGAGAAAACCTTGAGAACAAAAATGAAAATAAATGAATAACCACCAGAAGAGCACACTGTTTTCAAAAGGGAACAACCCGGAGTTCCTCACACCGTATTACTACGCAGTGGCGGGAAGGTGCTCTGACATTAAGCAGTTAACAAGTTGAATTTTAATTCAACAACGAGGAGGGTCACAAAACAACAGAAGTGACCGGAGGCTGCTTTGATCATCTGTGCTGAATCTAAGGCTTAATGAATGAGGTTTTAAAAATTCTGAGGCAGCACTGGGCCAGAGGGAAAGAGGTCTTTCGCCGTACCCTAAGAGCATAATAAAGTATTCTGCACTGCAGTTACTCTAGTATTAATGTATTTCCCCACAAAAGCTAAACTCAAGGCCTCTATAGTGTTTAGAAATTTTGAAAATCCATAGTTTTGCAAGTTTTTCTTATGAGTAGAGCAATTAATTTCATAGGTAAGATTTAACTCTACCTTACAATTCTGATGTCCTTCCAATGTATCTTTCAAAGTGAAAAAAATGAATGCCAATAAACATTATAAGGAGAATAACTTAGATGTTAGATTTTTAAAACTTCACAGACTTTACCGACTCCCCAAGAACTTGTTGATCCACTGACTGTTGAACTCTACTTAGTAGTAGGATGAATAGATGGGTTGACACCATCACAAATAGCTCAGCAGCCAGTGTTGTTCTATATCCTGATGTTGTAAACATTAAGAACAACAAACATTGGACTATTAGCAATGGGACTATGGCACCTACCAAACTCCAGGATATACTGATGGGCTTCATCCACATAGCGAATGAGTTGTTGGAGGAAACTGTAGGCAAATCGTTTCTCAATAGAAGGCGTGTCCAGTTCCAGGTCCTTAAATCCTCTGGAACAGCAAAAATGAAATAGGGAAAGCAATTTGTACAAAGCCTCTTAGAAGGTAAAATTGTGTGTGTGTGTGTGTGTGTGTGTGTATGCACCTATCCATACATGTTTATACATAAGTTTATATATACATATAAATTTTGAAGTTTATCTAATGTTATTGTAGGTCAAGGAAAAAGTAAGATTTAACCTATAAAGAATATTTTGCATATGATATAAAGCTTCAGTGAGTAACTCTCTTATTATGCAACAAAATGTTGCATTTACAAAAACAGAGTGTGATTTTTTGCCTGGGGATTTTGCCTAAATGATGGGTAGTGATTTAATATATGTAGCAAAAGGAACTCAGTTATGTAGTACACAGCTAGGGGTGTAAATGTTTCTGATGTGTGTATTTTGAACATATTAAACAGTACCTCAAAGGTGTAAACAGATCATTGAATTCATTTTCAGCTTTAAATATGATGGGGATATTTAAATATTCATCCTCATGAAAAGAGTGTGTAATTAGGGCATGTGTACTTTTACCTGGATACAGCATATCCATTGATCTGCAAGAACTTGAGGATGTCCTGTGCTTTTTCTCTATCCTTGGCTTTCTCTTTGGCTGTCAGTGTATCATAGGGCACCAGCAGAGGGTGGTTACCTCCTCCTAAGAGTATGTCAGGACAAGAACACAGCATAGTAATTTGAAAATAATCTGAGATGAGACACAGATATATAACTGGACCACACTATAAAACTTTTCATATCCTTTAATAATACACAGAGCATATAAGACTCTTCTGCCTCTATTGCCTTTAATGTTTCAATTAATTCAGAAAAACTACTCAAAGAAAGGCTGTGCATATGCCTTCTAAGAGGCAGTTAAAACACGAACATGCATGCATTTGTAATACTGAGTGACAATAATATCTGCATTCGCCAACGAGAGAGAAGCAGCTGTATTCTCTTCTCTGTTCAAAGCAATTCTGAATGTGGAGAGTGGAAATAAATGCTAAATCATACTTAGCAGGATTTAGAAAAGTTATAAAGCATGTTTCAGGGGTTATGCTTCATTTGCTGCCCCACAGAGAGAAGAGTAAAAGTCTTAAACATGGAATTTTTATTATATCTCTCAGATCAGAGAGTACTTCGTAGTCACATTATTTATAAATATACAAAACCACATATAGATGTGCTACATTAAAAGTGGATCACTCTTAAGTGTCTAATACTTGACTTTGAGACCTGGGGGCAAGTACATTTTAGCAAGAATCTAGATTTCTAATATACTTATCCTGATAATACTTACTAAAGTAGTCTTTCTTTCAGATTTAAAAATTCTAGAAAATATGTAAATTTAAAAAAAACTAATACAGAGAAAAACCTTTCTAAAAATTATAAATTATGTAAAAATGTTGGCTAAAATTTTGCAAAAATTATAAAAATATTTAAAAATGCACTGTTAATTTCAGATGTAAAGCTCTGGTACAAAGAATGCTATTAAAACAGCAGCAAACTGAATAGCATGGTATGCCTCACATTTAACATTCGTAAAACATACATGGTAATAGATATTGTGTGGGAGGCTGAGCTACCCTGAAATACAACTGCTAAGGAAATTCCAGGAAGAATAATTGAGAATAAATATTGTCTGAATTATAACAACATATAGCCTATGAAATCAGTTTCCAATACAGTTTAGCCAGGAGCTACTGCAGCAATGACAAATGCTGAATTTGCCCTACACAATAAATAAGCAAGCAAAGGAAGAAATGTCTGCTTCCCCAGTGCTGGCTTTGACTGAGAGTGCCATCTGCAGACATGCAATCGCCCACTGAACTTTAATACCATTAGGTGACACTGTGCTATCATACATGCAAGGCGGTGGTCCAGAACTACAGAGCTAACAAATACTAACCACGCTAAGGAATTCAGGTACTTCACAGCATATTAACAATATCAAGCACAATACAGCTGTTAGAAGACAACGACAACAAACACTCGTGAACAGCAAGAGGATATAGAATTTGTTACTAAGTTTAGTAGAAACCAAATTTGACTTTTGTCTTAATCAAAGATGTAATTTAACAGGACACTTTATAAGGATACTATAATTAATAACAATTTATTCTATATTCTCAAATAGCTACAAGAGCAGATTTTGAATGCTCCCAACACAAAGAAATATAAATGTTTGAGGTGATGGATATGCTAATTACCCTGAATTGAACATTACACGTTGTATACATTATGCAAATATCACACTGTATGTCATATAGACAATTATGTATCGGTTAAAAATAAAAGCAAAAATCTTTTTAAAATCAAGCATCGAATTCCATCACCCTAGTTTAATCAACCATCACCTAGTTCGAACTCCATTACTGCATTTAGTCCTAGAGAATGCTATTAATTTGGCAACTTAATTTGTAATCAGTGATTTGGGGGGGCACATACCAATAAGTTATTGTGGGGGAGGTGGGGAGAGAAAGAGAGAGACGCAGAAAGAGGTCTATAATTAAAAAATCCTAAGAACGCAAAGTACCCACTAAGTCGGTAACTCTTCTCACCCTATTCGACCTCCACTGAACTAGAAGGTGAAGGGATTTGAAAGCCTGACAGGTGACTGAAATCTACATCCTCTCTGTGCCTCTAACTAGCAGTGTGACCATGGACATTTACCTTGCACTTCCACCCTCATTTTTTCCATTTATGATATGGGTGTAGACATCTTGTGCTGAAGGAAACCAGCTCCTTGGAGAGGCAAATGAATGAGCAATAATTCCGAGGATATTACCGCACATACTAGCATGGACTCATGAACCCATTCATACTACAGGGTGAACAAACACTTGACACCAGTGAACTGTCTGTGGCTTAACAACAGATGACCATGGTACAAGATACTTGAAGTGCCAGTGGGAAAATAACATTTTTTCACTAATTTGGGAGCGCCACTCATACTTTTTGGACTTACACTCCTTTATTTCTATTAACTCCTTATGGCATCTGATTTTCCCTCAGACTTTTCGAGATTCCAAAAGAGCACTGAAGATCAGATGACTAAGACAAGCAAAAGAAGCATTTTTCTCCTGATTTTCCTAAAGCAGATTCATCTTCTCTGCACAGATGCAGGGATGATAAAAGAGAAGAGAATGGGTGAAAGCAAAACTGGGCAGCTTTGGCCCTGATTCTTTCAGTGTTTTTGACTTCTCATTTCTATTTCTCTCTCTCTCTCTCTCTCTCTCACACACACACACACACACACACACACACACACACACACACACCCAGACACCAAGACATCGGGTGGTGACAGATTCCTCCCACCTACTCTTATCGGCAGTGGGAGTAGAGCTGGCAGGATGCAACTGCCTACAACTGTTGGCTATAAGGATCCTCCTCACTATTAATGTCCCCGAGTGAGAAAACAACTTTGAAAAAAAGACACATGTAGTTTCTGCTCCGAAACTGGCCACAGTCTGTAACCTATCTCCTATTCCCAAGACTCACTTCTCTGGTTTGCTAACCTCCATAACCTAAAAGCCAGGATCCAGGATTGCATATTTCAACCCCTTTCCCACTGGTCTGCCATTCTGGTTTTAAACAAGTTCCTTTTCTAAAATGAAATCCATATGTGCAGTAAGAGAATTAAAGACAGCGAGGACTCATTTCCCCTACCTCGCCACTTAGTCTGCTGCAACTAGGTTAGTTGCCCAACTACAGATTATACATTTGAGCCAATACAAGTTGTATGCAGAAGTATGGATGTGCCATCTACTAGTGGCATGACTTAAAGAAAACATCAATCTGGCTCAGAAATTTAAATAATGATGATTTTCTATCATGCTTATTTAGAAAAGCATATAGGTTGTGTATATCTAATCTGAAAATCTGAAATCCAAATGTCCCAAAATCAGAAACTTTTTGAGTGTCTACATGATGCTCAAAGGAAACACTTATTGGAGCATTTAAAATTTTGGGTTTTGGATTTGGGATGCTGAACCCATGTATTTAATGCAAATATTTAAAAAATCTGAAAAAATCTCAACTTTCAAACAGTTTTGGTTCCAAACATTTTGGATAAGGGATAATCAACTTGTAATAAAATAGCTGCTTATTATTTTTAATTTTGACTCTACTACAGTGACTGAAACATAGTTTAAAAAAAGGAACAGATACTTTTTCATGTAATCCGCTCATGTAACAAGCAGTGATTTTGTTTATCAGTTATGTGGGCAATGCCCTGTCAAGAATTTCACAAAACAAAACTCTATGACTCATTTTCCATCCATCCATTCACCCATGCACCCATGAGCCAAACAATGAATTAATCATTCATTTAACAAACATTTATGGGGCGGTTTTAGAATACAGGCATATTATCCTTGAGCAGCATTTTGAAACAGGCAATTTAAAAATGTGAAATCTTCTCTTTTCCTCTCTGTGACTAACCCTAATTTGTGTTACTCTGTTTCCTAGTGCTTGGTGCCAGGTACCATCCTTCCATATCACAGTTTTACTTTTCACCATGAAACATCCCCACTTTCAAAATCTTCTCCCCTTCTACATTTTTACCTAGTCAAATAAACAAAAAGTAGAAGATTTATTGGCACCTGTAACTATACAATAAGGATTACAAAAGAAATAAATGTTGTGGCCCTGACCTTGAAAATAATATATTCCTATTGGGGGAAAGAAAACCATATAGGAAGTCATTAACGACAGCACATACGCGCGCACACACACACACCCCCCCTACATTATGAACAATATGTGTACAGACTAATGGCAAATAAATAACGTTGAAAGATATCATCAGTGTAGCATACATTAAATTGAAGAAAATATTTATGCAAATACATTTTAAAAGACTTGAGAAATACCTAAGAGAACATTAGGTCATTTAGCATTTGAATAAAAAAAACGGGAAAAGTGCAAGCAAAAGCATGTAAGAGACAGTAACATAGCTGGACTAGACGAAAGAGGCTGAGACGGGAAATAAAAAGGGGTGAAATAGGAGATATTTAAGTTGGGGAAGAGAGTCAGGGAGGGAAGTCTAAGTCATTCATAGAACAAATCAGATATCAGGATGAGAAGTATAGAAATCTATAAGCTAAAATGGGTAAAAGAAAGCTGCCAAAATTCTGAAACACAAGAAAATATACACTAGCCACTAGGAAATTACAGCATTTCCACCTTCAATCTGTTACAGGCACATTTAAACCATTCTAATTTTAAAAAGTTATAATAAGCTCTTGTGCTAAAAAGACTACTTCATCTATATATTCAAGTGATTGAACTCTGATTGTTTTTTAATACACGTTTTTAGAAAATATTACCTTTGGACTCCAACTCCATTTTCTTTTTCTTTGCCCATATATTATGGTAGTTTTCAGCCATCATTTCTGCCATAGCCTTAAAACAAAAATATTTATTACTTCAATAAGTAAAAAAGGGTAACATTGCTTTCTAATACATAATATTAGATGCCTTAAAGGAATAACTAATACAGTATTAGTGCTACGATACATTTAAAAGATAATCACACACCCTTCTTTAGAATCTGAATCCCAGTGAACTGTAAGGATTTGCAATATGACACAGTAACTAAACAGCAGATGAGAATGGTCATTGTTATTCATAATGTTTGAAGACATTGATTCAATAATGAAACCAAAATAGCTATGGACTTCAGAAAAAAATTTTTATTTACAAGTTCTTGTTTTAATTTCCAAAGTCTTAAAAATGACCTAAACCTTATTCAACTTGAATGTGGAGAATGTTAGATGGACAATCAAAGATCTGATTTCTAAATCAATCTCTGTCCAAACTAGGTGAGAGATCTTAGACTAGCCAAGTTAATCTTTCTGTGACCTTTTGGGTTTTGATTAAGATTACCTCTAAGATTCTTTTTACATCTGATTTTCAAGTTTACTGTGTCATTTTAAGACGTTCATATGGGAGCAATAACAAATGGCAAACAAAACAATTTAACAATATGTAAATTTTATATTTTCGTCCTTATTTCTCTTGGAACAAGACAGTTACCAGCAATGCTAATATGTTATTTGAACACCAAATTGACCTATTAACTTTATGTCTCAAGGCAATAAATTTTATCTTACTTTCAAATCTGCTATTTCAAAGTAGGTTCCTTGGTAACAAAAAAGAACAGATGAGACTGTGTATGGAGCAATAAGGATTGCAAATGCAATCAATTTCTCAGGAAAAACTTTAAAGAAAGTGCCCCTTGCGCAGAGCATTATTAACCATTTACTCTCTTCTCACACACAACTATTTAACATTGAGATTTTTAAATGGCTATTATCTTTAAGGAAAATATGTTATGTGGCTGAAACACCCTAGAAAAGTTGTATCAACTTTTTTTTTTTTTTTTTCCTTTGGGAGGGAGTCTCACTCTATCACTCAGGCTGGAGTGCAGTGGTGCAATCTCGGCTCACTGCAACCTCCGCTTCCCAGGTCCAAGTGATTCTCCTGCCTCAGCCTCCCAAGTAGCTGGGACTATAGGTGTGCGCCACCACACCCAGCTATCAATTTTGATAGTACTAAAAAATTAGAGTATATAATCTATAAATTCCATGGATCCATTATAGGATCACCACATTCAAATAAACCATGCTATGAAATATATGCAGGAAAGTATTATGTTATGCTTCTTAAAAATTAAATTTCGAGACTAGTTTTAAAAGTTGATAGTACTTACATGCAGGTCTCTAGATAGCGTAACATTGCTCATGTCAATGGCCCGGGGACTGTAACCATGGGCAGCGTCTACAGAAACCTAGATCATTTGTGTGAAAAAATAGTGCCTCATTAAACACCTTGTGAGGAGAGATTTAAATTATACTTTAAAAATATAACACAAACTTCCAAACATAGTGTTTCCTCAGATAAAACTGGCAAGTTTCTTTACAAAATGATGTTGTAAACACATCTCGCACATTAACATTATATTTGGGTGTCTGAAAACGATTTTTGATTGACAATCCTGAAAATTAACTATCAGAATTTAACATATTGTGCCATGAATCCAAAATGTTGAAACATTATCTTATGCAGGGGACCGTTACATTTTTGAGTTTCTTACAAATCCAAAATGGCTGCAATGAAATTTACTCTTCCTCAAGCAAGCGAGAGTTAATCAAAGATGTCAATATTTACAAATGTCTTCATGAGTCAAATGTCAGAATAAAGTATAACTAACTTTTAAATTATAATAGTATATCATATGGTATTCAATAATGCACTTGGAAATCCTCGAGGAAGAGACCTCTTTAATTTCTGAATTAAAGCTTTTGAAAAATGAAATATATCTCTTCATCAATTTTAAGGAAGTTTCACTACCATCCTGGGCACTTACCTCCTTCCACCCAATGGCATATTATGTGAAAGTGTACCACAGAAATGAGCTCTGGTTCCTGCTTACAAATCTAAAACTATACCGTGATATATTTCATAATTCTGTATATTCTCTTATTAAAAATGCATAAACAAAAAACAAACTAAAAACAAAATGAAAATATAGCTCATTATCATGCTTGTAAAATAAAAGTGAGTGTAACATATGCTATAATTAATAACAGGCTCATGAGTGATACTTAACTTTCGGGTCAGTTTTAACGGCACCCTGGCTTCTGTGCTTTCACCATGAGGACACTGTTCAAACCTTGTTTAAAGGAGGCAAACACCATGCTGGAATAAATCCAGCCTTTTCTGTACCTCACTTCTGTTTTCTGAGCATCACTTCCCTTTTTGTCTATAAACGTTATCCGGCCACATGGCAGTCCCGGACTCTCACTGAACCTGTCCTGGTTCCAGGGACTGCCACTGGTTCTTTGCTCAGTTAAACTCTGTTAAATTTAATTTGTCTGAACTTTTTCTTTTTTTTTCTTTTTTTTTTTTGAGACAGAGTCTCGCTCTGTGGCCCAGGCTGGAGTGCAGTGGCCGGATCTCAGCTCACTGCAAGCTCCGCCTCCCAGGTTCACGCCATTCTCCTGCCTCAGCCTCCCGAGTAGCTGGGACTACAGGCGCCCGCCACCTCGCCTGGCTAGTTTTTTGTATTTTTTTAGTAGAGACAGGGTTTCACTGTGTTAGCCAGGATGGTCTCGATCTCCTGACCTTGTGATCCGCCCGTCTCGGCCTCCCAAAGTGGAACTTTTTCTTTTAATATGTTAAATAGACCACCTGCTTCAAAGGCTGGTATGAAATGAGGTAATGGATTTAAAACCCGCAGCAAAGTGCCTGACACAAAAGAATGGATCAGGGATTTTAGTAAATGGCTATTCTCACTGCTAGTATACTATCATTACCACCACCAGTAATGTAACTACCATCAACACCATAGTTCCCATACAGTTGTAGTGAGGAGCGGGTGAACGTATTTGGGAGTCATAATTTTGCCTACCACAACATACAAAATCAAAGTCATTATTCTCTGCTTGCTGTCCCCAGCACTCCTATGGTCTTTACTTCACCTAACATGGCTATCAACTTGGGGACACAAGCTAGAATCCAGGGAATCATCTCAGATTATTCCCCTTCACCATCATGTCAATGTCCCCACCCAAATCTCATCTTGAATTGTAGCCCCCATAATTCCATCATGTTGTGGGGGGTACCCAGTGGGAGATAACTGAATCATGGGGGTACTTTCCCCCATACTGTTGTCATGGTAGGAAATAAGTCCCACAAGATCTGGTGGGTTTATAAGGGGAGACCCCGTTCACTTGGCTCCTCATTCTTCTCTTGTCTGCTGCCATGTGAGATGTGCCTTTCACCTCCCACCATGATTGTGTGGCCTCTCCAACCACGTGGAACTGTGAGTCAATTAAACCTCCTCCTTTGTAAATTGCCCAGTTTCAGGTGTGTCCTTATCAGCAGCGTAAAAACAGACTAATATACTCCCCTTCGTCTATTATCATGTATCAGCCACAAAATTCTGTCTACCTCAAAAATATCCCCGGGACATACCACGGTGTTCTGTTTCCACTGTCTTTGCTCTAATTCAGACACAACATTTTTTGGTTTTTGTTGTTTTTCCGGGATGTCTACAACATCCCCCTAAGGAGTCTATCTTTCTGCCTTCAGTCTCATCCTTCTCTAACTCATTCTCCATTTTGTTGTCAGAATTACATTTCCAAACTATTTATTTTTTTCTTCCCTAAGCAATGTCTTCTCCACTGTACAGCAAAAATATGTGGGCACGGGCTGGGCTTTATTAATATTTCCAGTATCTGACACATACCCTCTCTCATTAATGTTAAGATTATAAAATGATTCCCAATCTCACAGATATTAAAACAGGGCAAGTGTACGTCTTAAAACTGATGACAAATTATATTAGACTTTCTGCAAATTTTATTGATAGCAATAACTCTATAACTCTGTTTGTTCCTAAAATAGATTTCCCACTATTTAATCTCCCCTTAAACCACTTTCCTTATATAACTGAAATTTACAAGTTTTTCACTTTAAGTTCTTGAGGCCAGTTTTAATAATGTAGGTAAATATTTGCTTATTTAGGGACAGATTCTTTTTATGCTTTTAATTGCCTGTTTTTCTTCTTCAGATACACAGAAATCAGAAGACTGGCCAAGTCTTGCACAATTTCAGGTTCCCTGGACTATGCACCATCTTGGAGCCAGGGGGTTTAACATTCATAATAATCTTATTAGCATTAACAGCAGCAGTAGCAACTACCAGGTGTGTGGTCATCGGGACACACAGATTATCTCATTTTATCTTCAGAACAACTCTGAACAGTAGGTATCACTTTTATCATTTTAAAATGAGAGAAAAGAGGCTCAAGAGAAATTAAATAATTTTAAAAGTCATAAACTGTATTATGTAGATAGCAAACAGCAGCATCAAATTTTGAAAGTGATTCTAACACCAAAGCACTTATCCAGGTCCTTAAGATGGTCCCCAGTGTCCTATAGGACCTGGCCCCTGAGACCACTGTACCCTCATGTTACTCACTGGATTCCAGCCTCACTCACTTCCTTATCTCCCACATACTCCCACCTTAGCACATGTGCAATGTTTGGGACATTCTTCCTCCAAATCTGTGTAACTCCCTCAACTCTTTCAGGTTTTTATTCAATTCACCTTCTGATGAAATCTACCTGAAAGATCCATATTAAAATTGCAACTCACCTCCAAACACCTTCCAAATCTCCCTGTTGCACTCCCAATTTGCCTTTCTATGCTGTTTTCTTTTTTCATGATATTTGTCACACTCTATCATAGCATAGCTAGAACTTGTTTTTCTGAAGACAGAGTCTCTCTTACACTGTTACCTAGGCTGAAGTGAAGTGGCACAAACACAGTTCACCGCAGCCTCAACCTCCTGGCTTTATTCAATCCTCCCACCTCAGCCTCCTGAGTAGTTGGGATTACAGGTGTGTGCCGTGCAACCACACCTGACTAGTTTTTCTATTTTTTGTAGAGATGTTGTTTCACCATATTACCCAGGCTGCTTTCAAACTCCTGGGCTCAAGCAATCCCCCTGCCTTAGCCTCCCATAGTGCTGGGATTGCAGGCATGAGCCACCATGCCTGGCCTTTCTATCCATTGTTTATTTCCTCCATTAGAATGTAAGCTCCTGGACAGCAGAGATTTTAGTCCATTTTGTCACTGATCTAGCTGAGAAGCTTAGGACAATGCAGCATACATAATGGGTGCTCAATAAATATCTGCTGAAGGAATGAATGCATCATCCCTCTATCCTATCCTGTATTTTAGTTCTAGATAAGTAACACGTTCCAAAAGTTTCATTCTAATCTCCCTTCCCCTTCCAGGGTATAAGCTTATTTTTTCATTTGTTTTAAATAGTTTTTATCCTACATTTGTAGTACTGAAAAATGGATATGAGGTAAGGCATTGGAATTTGGGAGTAAACAAGTAATTGTTGAAAACCTGTGGGATATGCCTGAGATTGTCAGAAATGTTCTTTGCTGTTGACTTTAGTATCCCTACTAAGGAGGGGGTCAAAATCCACCCAGTTAACCCCTCTCCAATCAACTTCTTGTAACTTTTATCAGCCCTTATATACTCTATTGTATATTCCGTCGAGTTGATACTGGTCTTATTCATACCCTTATGTTTGTCTTACATGTGCAAATTCTAAAGCCCTAAGTGGGCGGTAGATTTTCTGAAATCAGGATTCGTGTCTTCCTCTGGTATTTATGGCAAACAAAGGACATTCATCAGGTTATTGATCCACATAAAGATAATAAGGCTGAAAATTATGGCTCACCCATATTGAAATATATGCCAGTTATTCTTTTAAGTGATTAATAAGCATTATAACGAGAACACTCAAAACATTCTTTCAAAGCAGAGACTCATACCAGCTTCATTTTAAAGATGAGAAAACTGCAGCATACAGAGGTTAACCAGTTTACCCAAGCTCACATAACTAGCTAGGTACTCAGGGGTGAGACCAGAATGTCAACCCAGGCTGTCTGTGCCAGATACTGCCATTAACCATGGGCCACCTGTACGTCCCTGAGGGAGTGCTGAGCCCCAGTAAAAAGAAAAAAAAAAAGCTGGTGCATTCAGGGTCGGAATCACATCTACACATGATCTTCACTCATCCATTTACATTCCTTATATAAAATGATGCTATAAAGTGTTCCTTTAGTCAGAAGAGTTTATACATGATAGAAAATTGCTTTATAATCACATAAGAAATCAGTAACAGAAAAAAGACAAAGAAGTTTAACAAGATGATAGTTGAAAAACAAAAAGCTATAAGGCAAGTAGTGAAGAAATGACAATCTATGTTAATATTTGAAATAATATGGGTTTATGCTTAAAGAACCTTTGGGCGAAAATAATGGCAAGAGTTATACATAGATTTGTGGCCTTCGGTGTATATTGCTCCCCATTTCTGAGGCTGACAGAACTATTCTTTCTTTCTTACCTACAGGCCAAAGTGCTACAAACACAAATATACTTTTTCATTTACCACTAATGAAATGCCCTCAATAAATGCTCTCAACAGAAATACTGACATAACAATAGTAACAATAAGAGTTCACATTTAATGAGGCAAACAGAGATCAAATACCCAAATGTACATTTTTAGAAAGCAGCACTACTAGGATTTAAGCCCAAGTGGTGAAATTCCATAGCCCTTCCTCTTACCTTACAAACTGTGCCTCTGGCACAAGCATCACCTAATATTTTGAAATCACATTCGAGATTTAAGAATAAATTTCAAAAATCACATGTCACTGTAAAAATCACTAAGACACGAGAGATGGTTCCACGGGTTAATAGGATCTATTAAGGGCTTACTATTAGAACAAAAAGGAGAAAGGGAAAGAGGGGTGATATAAAGTATACATGATTTTAAATTAGAGTACATAATTTTTGCTATTAAGAGCAGTGGAAGAATCTCCCTTATTTTTCATGAAGCTTAAAGTCATCTGCATTTGCAGTAATTTCTTATTTCTTATCTGCCTTACAGAATAATTTTTAAAAATCATCCCTTTCTCTACACTGTGTAGTGCCTTGTACATACCACTAGTCTCACCCTTTCTGTACCATGTTGTAGTAGATTTAACTTGACCTTATCTAACACTATTTTATGATTTTTAGGATTACAATTGTCTTGCTGTCTTTGTATTCTCATTGCCTAGTACGGATTTTGTGCTCAGCATTTGTTGAAACAGATTAAAATAAAAGCTATTTTACTTAGAAAAGCGTAAAGAAACAAAAAATAGATAAAACACACTTTTATAGTTTCCATCCATATATGATACATCCCAAAGACAATTTAATGTAAAATATGCCCAAATCTGAACTCAATTTATTTAAAAGTATATTTCATCCCTTGTAAGTTGGATTCCTAGGTATCTTATTCTCTTTGAAGCTATTGTGAATGGGAGTTCATTCATGATTTGGCTCTTGAAAGTGGGATTACTAGGTATTTTATTCTCTTTGAAGCTATTGTGAATGGGAGTTCATTCATGATTTGACTCTCTGTTTGTCTGTTACTGGTGTATAAGAATGCTTGTGATTTTTGCACATTGATTTTGTATCCTGAGACTTTGCTGAAGTTGCTTATCAGCTT